TGGAAAGATGGCGTAAAGTTGGCAAAATCTTTGGGTTTTGCTTTTTCTCAGGTAATGGTATATATTTGATTTTTTTTCTGATGCTTTCCCATTTACAAACAATTAACGTTAATCTTATATGTATTATATAGAATACCCCTCAGCCATTATCTAAATTTTTTCCTCCATCAACTTCGTCCCGCTTTCTTGAATTTATTTCTCATCTTTTACGATATGATCCAAGACAACGCCTCACTGCATTGGATGCTCTTAAACATCCTTATTTCGTTGAAAGTGACTTCATATTTGTGCCACAACATGAACCTGAGGATATTAAAGTTATTGGCATGGAAAAAAAGCGCAAGAACGGTACTTTCTTGCCATTTAAAAAAAACAGTGGGAATTTGATTCCAGGAGATAACAAATCGGCTAATATATATTCTTGGACCAAGGCAAAAGATACACAAATCTACGATGCTAGTGAATCATATACGAGTGTTGTCAACCCCACAACTGTCAATTGTGGGTCACCTATGTCCATTGATTTGCGGAGATTTCAACTTCCTGATGACGTAATGAGATTTTTTGGGGTGACCGATGAACTTTATTCATAAAATTACTTATGAGTGACACTAAGAGAAAACAGACTTCGGCTCTTAAACTTATAACTTACCAGACTTAATCTTTGAAAAATCTGAACAATTGGCTCGGCAAGTTATAGATTTTAAGGCATGAAGTCTGGTTTTCATTTGCGTCACTTATTTAAAAGTAATTGATAGATATAATTTTATAAAAAAAAAAACAATAATAAAAGTAATAAAATAAAAATAGTATTAGTTTTCTTTCTTGATGGATAATTGTATATCTTTGGCATAAACTTGTTTTTAGGAGATCTGGAAATATGTAAACATAAAAAATTTCGGAGGGCTTTTAGAGATTAATAAAGTTTAATGTTTTTTGTTTAAAAATAAATAAAATTTTAATGGTGTTGTCTAAATTGCTTTAATTAAAAAATATTGGTAAAATTAAAGTAAAAAAGAATTTTATACTATTGGTAAAAATTGATATTAAATTGGTAAATTTTAATAATAATTAAATATTTTAGTTTGTATTATATTAAACAAAACAAGCTTTATATAGAATTTGAAGAATACTTGTTAAAAAAGAAAGACTCTATTAATTAAAAACAAAACCTTTTTTAAAAAACATTTATACACATCAACTTTTTTAACAATCTTTTGAATTAACTTTTCAAAAAATCTAACTACAAGAAAAATAATAGATGCTTTATAGAACAGATAAGTAAACTTCACAAACTCTACAAACTTCACAACTTCACTATTAAAAATTAATGATTAATAATTATTAGTGAAGCTTATTTCTTATATTGCCTACCTATTCTATAGAATATCTAAAATGAGATATATAGGTAATATATTGTAATGTAACAAGTTAAACCTTTGATTTAACAAGTTATTTTACTTGACTAAGTATACAAGTAATTAAGAAATGTATTTATAATAATTTATAGAATAAAACAGTTTATAAATAAGATAAAATATTGTTAACTTATTATTATAGTGATACTCACTAAAATTATAACCAACAAAATTTATAGACAACAGATAAATTTATTAACTCAGATAATACACAGAAGAATAATACAAATAAAACAAATGTTTAACTTAAGAAAAATATAATAATTCCAAGAAATATTACAGAAAAGAGATTTACAATAATATAAAATAAAAAATAAGATTTATTTCTAATACAAAGTTATAACAAAAATAAAAATGTATCCTATTCTCAAGACCAAAGTGTATAATAACAAGGCTATAGTGACCAAACTATGAGGACCAACTGTTCTTTTGCCTTGGTAAAAATGGCAGAGTTTATATATTTTTTTTTGTTATATTAAATTACTATAGAACATAGTAATTAATTAAGAAAGAATATTTGTTATTAACAGAAAAATATTTTCTATTATAGAATAAGTATCTTTAGATAGTGAATTGGCACTTCCAGATAGTGAATAGGCACCTTAGAATAATTAGAATTAGAGATTGAGTATCTTTTACTATAACAAGTGTATTTTTCCTTATAAGATAGACATCTTTTAATATAAGATAGGCATCTTTTAATATTGTGTTATAAAACAGGTTTATTTTCTTAGTTTATTATTTTATCTTAGTATTATTTTATTATTTTGATATTTGTATTTTATTAGTTATTAGTTATTATTATATTTATCTTAGAGAAGAATTTAAAAGACATATATAATGATTAATTTTAATGTTTAGTGATTAACAATTGGTAATTATACTTAGCAATTAATAATTACGATTACGCTTAGCAATTAGCAATTACACTTAATGATTAGTGATTAGCAATTAATGCTTAATGATTAACAATTAGCGATTAATAATTAGCAATTACAATTAGCACTTAGTATTAAGTAAACTATGCTTAGCTACAACAATTAGCGATTAGCTCTAAAGATATAAAAAGGCTATAAATTTCTCTAAGTTAATATTAGACCTGTTACTGTCTACCTTAGACCCAGACTTTTTTCTTTTTTAAATTCTCTCTTGTAATATTATAGAACTCTTTAGAAATAGAAATCTAAGGATAGCCTATTTTATTTATCTTTAATAAACATATATTTTATCTATAAACTATTGTCTATCCAAATTGCCACAGACAGAAGGATATAGTTTCTAAAAAGAAATAGAAATTATACTTACCTGTTGGATATCACTATAAAACTGTGAAGGATTCTTATAGCTATATCATTATTATAGTACTGCTGTTAAAAAAACTATAGTATTGTAACAATAGGATAGACACCTTTTGATATAACAAATATATTTTTGCTATTTTGGGTTTGTTTAGCTTTATTTATTCTTAATATTGTTGCTACATTGTTCTGAGCTGTTTTGAAGTACTATTTGTATTCATGTTATAATATTGCAAGTTAGACCTTTGGTTAACAAGTTACCTTACTTGACTAAGTATTCAAATAGTTAAGAAATGTGTTTATATAATTTTATAATAGTAAACAGTTTATAAATAAGATAAAATATTATTGACTTATTGCTATAGCAACACCTACTAAGAAAGATTATAATCAACAAAATTTATAAACAAAAGATAAATTTATTAACTCAAATAATTCTTAAAAGAATCATACAAATAAAACAAATATATAACTCAAAAAAAATATAATAGTTTTCAGAAAAATATCACAGAAAAGGAACTTATTCTCAACAAAAATACCAAAAATAGGACTTATTCTTAATATAAATTTATAACAAAAATAAATATATAACTTATTTCCAAGACCAAAGTGTATAATAACAAGGCTATAGCAACTGGAAACCAACTGTCTTTTTGTTTTAAAAAAAGTGGCAGAGTTTATATATCTTTTTTTAGTATATTAAATGACTATAGAATATAGTAATTAATGTTACAGATCATAATGAAATCGGATTAAAATGAAATGAAAGGTTTCTATTTGAACTCCTAAAACCTATTTATACTTGTTTATTATAAAATCTGCTTCTAAATCCTAATCCTAACTCCAAAAAAATGCTAAAAAAATGCACTCCAAAAATTTGTATTTTTCGGTAGCTTGTCTATTTTACACTATTTTTCAATTTCATTTTGATCTCATTTCATTTTAATCTGCCATAATTAATTAAAGAAAAGCACTTTTATTAATAAAAGAGCATTTTCTACTATAGAATAAGCACCTTTAAATAGTGGATAAGCACTTTTAGATAGTGGATAAGCACTTTAGAATGATTAAAATTAGAGATTGGATATCTTTTACTATGACAAAATCATTTTTCCTTATCCCTTAATTTGTAGACTTTAGCAGGCAAATTTGCCTGCTTAGATACTATAAAATTAGCTCTGATTTATTTTTT